TAAAGCTCTTCACCTATAAATTAAAACCCATGGCGAGACGGATAAGCTCGGCTGAACGTCAGATATTTTGTTGATCATCGACTTGAGATGATAATTTTTCTTCAAGTCTTTAAACAATGGGAAAGTGGAAGCGGATACAGCTTTTTTTCCTGCAGTGAGGTGAAACTCCAAAAAGCATCCTCATATCACTCAATTGTTTTCGTCATTTTAATTTTCGATTCCTTTTTGAAAAGTAATGACGTATAAGACATACGCCTGGAAAAAGTTGAATTAAGCGTTGGTGGATTCGAATTCATGCACGATTCATGAACAATAGAATGAACTGCACCTTAATGAAGGAATAAACTTTAGTCGAGTGTTGTTGTTCGTAGCTGCTGGGATTTTGGGTCGTTGGATACGAAGGCAAGCACTCATCCTTTGGACGCACTTTTCCCGGAAACCTGTCTATGAGTAGCAATGCTTGTTGTTTTAATTTTTTCCTTTTTTTAATCTAAGTGCTTCAATGAGTCCCATTAATCCCATAGTCTTAGTAAATGAATTAAAAGAGGCGCTTGGCAAAGTTTTGACATCACTTGTAAAATCAACCAATCAGTAGAAATAGTAATATCTGTATAAAGGTGGTCAAGGTTTTGAAAAGCATTCAGCCCCTTGGCACCCTCAGTCATTGAGACCAGTTATTATTCCTGTCATCTATCACAAAAAAATCTGACAGGTGTCTATTCTGTGTTGGAACATAAATTATTCAGAAGACGATCCTTGTTCGGCAGTTCATAGGTCATAAACAATTGGTTTTGTGCTGCAAATGCCTTGCTTGAGGACGAAGAGTCAAAAAGTCCAAAAGGTCACTGTTTTGAGTTTTGTTCGTTTAGGAAACCCACGCACCCTTTATGTTTCCACGCGCGCGTGCGTAAATACTAATTTAAAAAAAGGAAGAATGATCATTTTAAAACCCCTTTGTGAGGGATGATAACAATCTTTGAGAAGTTAAAAAAAAGAAAAAAAAAGAAAACAAAAATAGTGAGATAACGTGACGCCTTTGAATTTAGAAAGACTACTTGCGATTAGTTTTTTTGTCATCTGTAACCTTTCAAGAAACACAGGCTTTAAAAGGTGCCGATTTTGTGTTGGACCGGTATTTATTCCGAATGTGATCTATACTTTTGTTATTGACTGCTTGTTCCTAGAAAACAGCTGGTTTTGTGATGCAAACACTTTACTCGATTATAAGTGATATCGCCGTAGCTTTTTGGCAAAACCGAGAATCCCTTAGGAAAGTTCTTGAAGGTGAGGTATGTTGAGACAATTATTTCGTGACCAAAGTCCATTGTTGAATATTTCATCAAACAAATGACTTTTCATTTTAATTTCTTCTGAAGCATATCTTTCCAAATACAAATAACATACTTATTTGTATCTTGATTCATATCAAACACAGGGGAAACTATCAGCAAGATAGAGCCCTATTGAAAAAAATATAAATCCAAAACCAACAACAGCAACAGAAACGTCTTTAAGTCAGCCAATTTAAATTATCAACTCAAAACTTTAAATTTTAGACGCGTTTGTACGCAAATAATAAGCAAAAGGAAACAAAAGTATAAGGTGAAAGATGGGATAATAGCTCTCGTTAAGGAGACAATTGATTCCAAGTTTCGCGAAACGTACAACCTTGAAATAGCATAGTTGGAAAAAAGAACGCATTTCTTGAAATGAACAATGTTAAAACTGAAATGCAAAAATCGAAAGGTTGTCATGTCATTGTTATTCATTGAGTTCAACCCCGCTTTTGCTGAATGCTGTTTATTCTTTC